CTAGGCTTGAACATATTGAAACAGTCAATGCCTGGCAGTAAAGCAAATAGGCTATTTTCCTTAAAGAAAAATCTATTACTCTTGTGCTGGGTTCTCAAATCCTAATATTTACCCTTGTCTAAATAATGCATAATTGAGCACTAGCATAAACCAACTCCAGATTTCTCACAAAACCATTGTTTCCTTTCTTAAAATAGAAGTGGAAAGCAAATGAAAATCATCCTTCCATTCCTGCATTAATTGAGGATAAAAGATTAGAGCTCAGTCCTTGAAGTCAAGAGAAAGACATAGGAAGGGTAGCAGGAAAGGGGGAGGATTTCCACTTGTCTGCTAAGTGTCGGAATCTACGCAGACATCTGTATCTGAGGGACCTGCCTGGGATCCCTTTACAGTCAATGGAAAGAAATGGGCGTTTCTAGAGGATAATTTCTCTGACATATCTTAAACATCTTCCTTTGGGACAGGGCAAACCGATGCATCCCAAATGTAAGTACATCAGGTAAAGCCCAAGGTCATGCACGCTAATTTTAGTGAGGGTCTGAATCTGCATTTTTTCCCCTCTTAAGAGAACTTTAGAGATTTAAAACAGAGCTTTTTCAAGCAGTGATTTAAAAAATATACACCACAAAATCAAAAGCAGGAAGGTGCAGATTTGTGACACAAAAAAAGTCAATTCCTCATTCACTAAGTTCCTCTAAAAATAGAAGCATAAATTTCAGTCTATATAATTAAGAATTCTCGTATTTATTCCTCTTCATTAACATTGCCAGTGCTTTTAGTTCTGCAGGTATCATGGGAAACAGGAGAAAAAAATAATTCAACTTCAGAACTAAGATGAATAAAAACTAACATTTAACTGGTTTTATGGAAAGAAAACACAAATGAGAGTTCCAGTAGTTCATGTAGAGCCCCATCTAGCTGGAGTGAAATAGAAGTGTCTCCAATTTTAAGAAAGCAATATTTATTGGTTATAGACAGTTACTTGCTCTTGGATTTTCTATGGTTTTTCGCAATATTTATTGGTTATAGACAGTTACTTTTGAAATGCTCTTGGATTTTCTACGGTTTTCCATCAGACTTTTTTGTATCATAAAAGTGAATTTTATTTTGCTGTAAATGCTGCTTTTAGAAATTCAATACAGATTTTTAAAACAATCTAGTACATACAACAAAGTAAAACTCTCTGGGAACATTTTTATTCCTTTCACAACTGCTGTGAGTCTGTCATCTTCAGTATCTCTTTACTCACTAGCAAGGATGTGAAGATAATAAATACCACTCAATATTCTGGCTACTCATTGTCTACACATTGCACATTAGGTTTTCGTTTCTCAAAAAGAAACTTCCTAAAATGCTGATTCACATGAACTAGATTTTTTTTTTTTTTTTGTCCTAATAGTGGCAAATGAAGTGTTTAAAACTAAGACTCCCATAATACTTCACTAAAATTGAAGTACAGCATTTTCTCCTGGATGATGTTCTCTGTACCTAATTAGACTGCCTTGTCTATAAAGCTGTAACTCAACTGATGAACAAAAGTCAGTGCAAAGAAGAAACTAGATGACCTGACTACTTTTCTCCAGACTTATTTGAGTCTTCTGTTTGGCCTTTAATAGAGTAGCAAGGAAGTGCTAGAAGTGCAGGCTACAAAATGTGATAATAGATGAAAAGATCCAGATGAGGAGGAGATGGAAGGAGGGATGCTGACCATCCTTGCTCAACAATGCAAGAGGAAAACTGGAAAGATTTTATAGTTCAGAAACCTCATCAGGAAAAAAAAAAAAGTTACAGCAGTCATATTCACATAAAAGGAATACGATCTGCAAAAATAGATGCTTTCTCCATCATCTATACTCTGTATTTACCCAAAAAAAAGTCTTTAAACCCTTCTCTTTAATTTGCTGATGGATTACCCTTAGAGGTTTACTGTTTGTCACAATTAACTTGTAACTCACACACAAGTAACTTGAAGACCATTTACACGTGAAATGCTTATAGACATTCAGCAAATCAGACAGGAACATGACCGTGATCTCTTCATATAAAAAAATATTAAATAGCAAAGTTAGTTCAAGTGATAATGATACTGCCAGTTGGGACTTGTTGGGGAATTCCTGAAATGGATGTTTTAATTATGTCACGAGTATATTGTCCTGAGATTACTGTCATTGTGTCTGCTGGAGAAAACTCAGCAAGCCTATACAAGCAGTTCACATGAATTTGTCTAAGGATCCAGCAAAATAAGAGCAACTTTTAGTCAATATAGTGTTCAAATTATTTGCCTGTACCAATCTTTCCTACATAGCTAAATATACACCTTCGAATATGTTTATTAGTAGAAATCTAAATTGTTTAGGCAAAACTTTCTTTCTGACAAACATTGTTTTTAGTGTTAGTGTGTTTCAGGTTGTTGTTTAAAATAATTTCTAAAGTTTCAAATACCTAAATGAAAAAGACATTGTACCATGTGTTTTGCCTGCTCAGATCTTTATGGCTTCTTGTAACTATAGAGGAGGGTTTCTAATACTGGTTGCACTGTCCAGAGAGGTGGGTGGCAAACAGCAAGCAGTGATTGAATCCCCAGCTACTTTTGAACAATTAAAAAAATGGGGATTGTGCTTAGGCTCAGGTGAAGACCATCTGACACGATATTTACTTTTACCAACTTCCCTATATTCTTCATGGTACTTTAGCTCAGGTTTATAGTAGCTGCTATGAAAATCATTAACAATCACCATTAATTTTATCAAGACAAAAACCCTCAGCATTGAAAAGAGAAGCCTTTTGCAGACAGCCTTGGACAGATGCTGATTTTTACTGCCAGAATACCACTGTTTTCTGCAACAACCATATATATATTTTACTGAGGATAAAGTTGGTTTCGACAATTATAAGGTTAATCCAGACTTTATCAGTCAGCCTTACCCCAAGTATTTAAAACTGTTGTATTTGGTTGTCTGCTGTATTGATTTTCTGGACAGACCACATTCAAGGTGTACTCTGCTAACAGCCTAGCAATGATTCCTTGCTTTGGGATCAAGAGTGAAACATTTGCAGATGCTATTTTATGTCCTGGCTCAATTAACAGGGAAGGTTTGTGAGAAGCAGTTTTTATGCAGTCCTGAAAAATTGCTTGACTAAGCACACTTTTTCACTGGCTGCAGATGTTTACCTGACTCATAGATTCATGAAATCTGACAGAGATGACTTTGAGGTCTCCATGTATATACCTGATGTATGCTAATACAATTAATATATTAAATGTAAGCCGTGCTGGGACAGTAATTACTAAATTGCTTTATGTTTCCAGATATAATGCCAGTAACATTTATGCCACTCCCTCAGAATACATTTCTCTAAATATTCTATACTGTTACATTCTTTTCTCTAAAAAGGCAAAGCTTCAGTGGCGTTCTTAACTCTTTCTTGTGATTGCAAGAGTTACAATCATATAATCAGAGTACAGTAATAACATCAAAAAGGAAATTGGTTCTTTCTTACTGAAGGACAGTAAACTTATGTTTACTATAATATGTTGACTTATTTCAGGAGTCTAGAAGTCTCACCAAAACAATCATCAATTATTTACTCTCAGATAGGAATAGAAGTCTTTACTGAAATGAAACAGAACAAAATGAAAAAATAAGCACTACTAGTAGCAAGTTTAGGATAGCAGTCATCTACACGAGATCTATTCAAGTTCACTGTTTGCATCTGTTAAAATCTATAGACCAGTTTTATGTCACGGCTTCTCAATCCTCTATTTCCTTCTTTTCTCTCCCCTTTTTATTAATCACGAGCATTTCACCATGACTGCTTGCTTCTGTCAAGCCACCGTTTCTCCAAGGGCCAACTCTAATGAAAACACCACCCTGATATATTCTCAGGTTGTTATTCCTACCAGCATGGCCTTATTATCCAGACTTCCCCTAAACGGTCCATTGCAGTGCTTTTCTATGTCCTCCTTCTGTAGGTGTGTACGCTTCAGGAGATAGCCCCCTAAGCATGCTTCCACCTCTTCTCCTGCCATCCCACAGAATTGTCATTAATTGTACTACAGTAACAGCACTGCAACTCTTTCTATCTAGTTCCTCAATTCCCCATGCCAGGTTTAGGGAAGGGAAAGGTAGCCATGCCGCTATACTGGAAACACAACTGGTAGGAACTAAGAGGTGCAAAGGGCTCCTTGAGGTCCTAGCACCATTTGGCACTTTCTACTGACACAAGGCAATTTTAGCAAGTTCAGGGCAACAAAAGCATGTTTTTGAAACAGTATTGGCCTGAACCAGAACTGAACCCACTACAGGTAAGGAATACAGTTTCAGATTTGACGGTGGGTATCACATGTTCAGTATTAATAAATATAGAGATAGAGAACAGACGCAAAATAAAGCATCACTAATGACCAAATAGACATGCAGAAAAAAAACCTAATTAGCTAGTCACAGACGGGATGTTATTTGTTTAGCCTTATTCAAGTAACTTCAATTCTTTTCTTTATTAATAGTCTGTATTTTGACAGTATGATGACATTCCATTTAATGGCATAAAGAAGAATGGAAATGAAACAGAAGTACTCAGAATTAGAAATGAAGGAGATATGAGAAATGAATAAAATATATCCTTATATAAGATATATTCTTGTATAAGAGGTTATACACAGAATCATCAGCGTTCAGCTTTTGTGCTAGTTATAACATTATCTAACATTGTTTCAGAAATCTACACAAATTATATTTATCTGAATGTTTAGTTTGTGAGATCTTGGTGAAATATTTGCTGATAGCTCTGATACATTTCCTTTCTGAAGCTAGTTTTATAGGCAACCAGCATTGTTTGCTGTTTATGCACTCTTCAGCTTAATAATTCTTGGGTATAGGTGTTCACCACGGAGCAGACTCACGCACACAAGCAGACAACAGCAACACAAAGTGTCAAAGATAAAAGCAACGTTCCTATCACAAGAATGTTTGCAATCTAATATGGATTTGTTCACTTACCTTAACAAAACCAGGCTTTCTTTTATGGAAAATCTGCAATTCCAAGACAAACAGCAACATTGATAACTAGAAGGTAGAACAAAAGGAAAAGAAAAATCACTGATGGTAAGAAACAATTATACTCTCAACAAAGCAATATATGTGTGCTGTAAATAACTCCAACATTTCTTGTAGAAAACAATTTCAGTATCTGCTGCCTGGAGATGAGGTGGACATGGTCCCCTGGTGACACAGGATCAAGCAGAAATAAGTAAGCAGTTAAGAGGGCATTTTAACCCCCCAAGCGGGAAAAGTTTTACATTTTGGATATATTTAAAGTGCCCAGTCTGATCCAACCATTGTAACACAAGCTAATTGAAAAGATCAAATCAATTAAAAAGTCCACTTTAACTCCAGAATTAAGGGGAAAAAATAATGCATATTTTAATTCCTCTTATATTTCGCCTCAACACTGAAGTGCAGTTTAAGAAAGCTATATCCAGCAGTAAAAAAAGTTGTATCCACTGAATCTTGTACTATTGAAGCAGTTTTTTCTCTCGTTAACTATTTCTAAGGTGAGGGATCAACGATAAGCATCCTTAAGTCTCTGAAGGACACACATATCAAGAACAGGAATAAAATATGTAATGCTGTCCAACGGGTAGGAATAATAGGATGAAACAGAGCAAAGGCTGAACTTGGAAAGAAAATGCAAATAGTTGGATGCATCTGACCGTGGAACAATCTAAGGGAGTTTGTGAAATCCTGTCATCCATCTAAGATACTTTAAAATGGATTAAACACTTGGAAATTTGCTGAAAAGAACTATTATGTATTGACACAGGGACAGCCAAGATAATGATATAAGTAAATTCGTTTACTTAGAACTTTTTAAATTCTATGAATTCTAGTTTTTATTTATTGGGAAATAATTTCCTTCTATATTTACTTATTGCTCCATTGTTTTCCTACCACTTTCATCCTCTTTTCAATTTCGTTCTGACATGTTTCACTTTATTGACACCATTGAACTTAAGACATCAGACTTAGACAGTTTTCAGTAGGAAGAGTTAAAAAGTGTGCATGTACAAACTCAGGCTTAGCTCATTTGGAAATTCATTCAGTGCAACTGAGCAGAATGAGTTGCTTGTGTGTAATATTTATTTATTTCACTAAATATCCCATTAACCTTGCTGTAGCTGATTGGTGTTGTCCTGCTAGACTGCATGGATTTAAACTGAAGGAGGCTGTCACAGGGAAAGGAATCTGTAAACTGTACTTATGACAAAGGTAAGATATATTTCTAAGAGGAGACAAGAAGGCTGCTGTCTATCTGGAAATATCTGCTTTTGCCTCCAAATATTTCCTCTCCTCTCCATGTCTTGCCCCAGAGACTCATACATGCCATTACTAACATTGCACTAAGATGCTCTAAAGAAAAACAATCATTGTTACCAGCACTGCCTGTAAACAACTACTAATCTCTCAACAAATAAAAAGCCTGTCACTATTTTGCACAAATGCCTCTTACACTATGATTACAACCAATACTGTTAGTAAAATATTTCATAGGGAGAAAAAGAGAAAATTAATATCAGTATTAAATATTCTGAGAGTAATAACAAAAACACCTGTAATTTAAAGAAAATAATGTTTTTTCAGAGGAAATCATCAGGAAGAACACAGAATCACGTGGGGTTGGAAGGGACCTCCAGAGATCATCTAGTCCAACCCCCTTGCCAAAGCACATTCTTGTGATCCGAAATTGCTTATCTTCCTTAGCCAAAGGGAAAAGAGATTTTCCACGTTTTAGCCAGACCTTCTGAGTTTTTCTCTTTGGGATACATATCCTTGTTTATATTTACATAAGCTACATATTTGGGTATACCCAAGCTGTATTTTACCATTCTACAAGTTCAATTTACAGTGATGACTTCTAAAAATACACATAAAATATGCAAATATATGCATATGCAAATTTTATCCAAGGGAAAAAAAGACAACCTAATTAAAAAGAAAAGTTCTGCATGACCAAATATTAAAATCAAGTCTTACACGCAGGTGCATTCATACCATAAACCTAAATTGTTGGCACTAAACAGCACAGCCACATGTACAAAGTGCATATTTCTGGGTGGAAATGGCTGTGCACAAATTCAGAAGTAGTATTCAGGCACAGTTGTAATAGCTCTGTGTCTTTTTTAATTGCCCAATACAGGCCCTCATGCCCAAGTAGTTCTGGAAGAGACAACAGACTCATAGCTTAAGGGGAGCACCATAAATTCACCAGGCTACTGGTTAAATCTAACAAGGAATTGAAGTTATGTCTAATATTTAGTTAGAAAGATAAAAATCCTGGAGATGAACATGTTTATTGAAATTAAATCATAAAAAATGGCAAGATAGAATTATTGTGCATATTTTCGTGTCTGAATTGACTTGATTCTGGCCTAAGCAAGTGGAAATCATACAGAATAAAACACATGCTGGAATGGTCAATGACAAAAATGGTAAAATATATTAGGAAAGATTTGCTTTTTTGATATGAAAGGCTGAAATATTACAGATTGAATCCAAAAGGTAGAATAAAAATATGCAGAAAGAACAAAAGCACAGAGAGATCAGTCACTTATTTACTCAAGGTCATACAGTAGGTCAGCATCAAAGAAAACATGAAGGTACATCTGTCCAGCCACGTGCAGGCAGTTGTACATCTATTTCTTTGTATTAAAAATCAGTTTTACATCCAAAAATTCCAACCCAGAAGCTATAGAGCTAAGTCAAGCTAATACGTCACGTCTCTCTGGGATACGTTAGCTTTGGCTCAGACCTTTCTAACACTGTTAGGCAGCTTCTGGTCTGCAAAGACTCCAGCAGAGCCCCACAACTGCTTTGAGATAGCATCCAGCCCCATATCTAAGCATACTTGTATTCATTAAAAACTGGTGTCTCATACAGTGATAAACCTGGAGGACTGCTGTTGGGATTAGCTGTAATCGCATTATGAAAGATAAGGCCCTCTCAAGTGCAGTGAGATGTTCAGCACCTCCCCTACAAAAGCCAACTGTGATCAGGAGCAGACTCTGTGAAAGGCGGTTGTTGTCCTGCCCTGAAGGGGTTACTGACCGAGGGCCAGGCTCCCTTCTCCAGCTCTCCAGAAAACCATGCTGACCCAGGACTCTGCTCAGCAAAAATTATTCATGATTGCCGTCCAGCACAGTGGAAAGTCCAGTATATATTAGCAAAGGTGATGAGAAAGGAAAAGCTTGCACACTGATACAGAAATCACTAATTAAAGATAGGGATTTTTAAACTGCTCAACAACTTCAGGAAAAGATGTGATTTTCCATTAGAAGAGTGAAATGTAGTCATAATTACACAAAGTTACAGCAGGTACCTCTGGCCCTTCAAGAATAAACTAAGCTGTATAAGTACCATTTAATCAGTACTTTGGGGCTGGGGTAGAACATGTGTTTCTCTTTCTAAAGCACATAATTTAATAAAACAGTATAAGAAAAGCTCATGGAAAAGAACACAGCGCATGTTACTTAATCAGAACAAGGGATTATCTGCTGCTATGATATTTGATTAAGCATCAACAAGGAAAAGCAGCTTTTTAGTGCCCAGTGATAGAGATTAATACAAATACAAGTAACTGTAAAGGCGCAGAAGTCCAGCAAAACCCTTATTGACCAATTTCAGTCAAGCAGTTTAACCTAAATGGTCTAGGGGAGCAAACAGAAAGAAAAAAATTTTCTAAGAGCTGGATTATTTCAAGAGCTTTTAGGCAAGCCAAATTCCTAAAATTTTACATATTTTATGAATATTATACAACAGAAAAGTAGGTGCTGGACTTTAAAGAAGCTAACACAAAAATCAAAGTTACTGATTTCTAGAAAAGATTTCCAGGAGCTCTCTACCGTTAGACACAATAAAAATAAATAAATAAAATGAATGATCACAATCCAATCTCTGAAGTCCCTTGACAAACGTACAATTCAGTGAATACAATTCATTAAAACCTAATTACAAAAAAATCAATAGCGCAATTTAGCCCAAACCAAAACTTATTGTAATGCACTGAACATTTGAAAAAACTCAGGTCTTTATGAACAGGGCTTAAGTGACGTTGTATATTACATCGTAGAGTGTCTCTGTACAGCAATTAGCACAGGCTGCCTGACTTTACTCAAAAAGGATATTACAATAAGTAGCTCTAGTAACAGTGCATCTGTAAACACCCACTCTCAAGGATGCAATGAAAAAGGAAACAATGCTACTAACAATAGTCTATAAACCCAATTTAAAAGAAAAATCAACTACTCATACTCCAAATACATACCCTCCGGAGTTCACTATTTTTATTGCTGTTTGCAGAATTAAATGGCCACATTTTTCTTTTAGTTATATACCAGGAAATCCACCGACATCTCTAACAATGATAAAAAAAAGTATAGTCTCACATATAGTCACTATTTTTCAGCAAAATCAGACAGAATTGACTCAGAGTGATAGTAATTATGTTTTTGGAAATACTTTAAAAATTAAATATTGTAATATTTCATAAACATTCTAACTGTCCTAAAGTGTAAACTACCACTATAGCATTTTTAAAAAATTAAATACTAAGGAATAGTATACAAAGATGATTTAGATTGCTCCAGAGCGCTCTGAAACCATATACCCTGAACTCTCTGTCTCTCATAATGTTTGGGTATGTAATTTTAATCCCTATGTCCTTCTGTCAGACTAAAAGAACTGATGCACCCTTTGAAGCCACACGACCACCTGTATACACCAGCTTACTTGTCAATATTTTGCACAGGCTGGTATATCCTCTGGCCAGTCGACCTTACTTCAATTAAATGTGACTGCTCCACCTACCCACAGCACAGCAGGGAAGAGCTACCAGCTAATTTCCATGCTTTACTTGGATTTTTTTAAGTAAAGCCTTTTGGAATTGCAATGCCTCAGTCCCCGGTTCATTCTGCAGATTTCCCTTCAGAAAAAAATACAGGCCAGGAATCACACAATTCAGTCCATATCTGTAGTAGCCACTTGCTCCTGAATACAGAGAGGAAGAACAC